CGTCTTTAAGAAAATGAAGATTGCCCGTAAGCACCGCTGGATACTAGCTCGTCTTGAAGACGTTTCTGAAGAGTTTGAGATACGAGGTTCCATGAGTCCATAAAGCGATCCATACATCGTTGTAAACACTGTTTGTCAGAGTTTGAAAGAGAGCTTCCAGGAGCCGAGATACACTTCTGAGTGCATTTTTCGGATAAATCCTTAAATTGAATGATTGAATTTAAAATGGCATTTGTAATGCGGATTGAAGTGACCTTATGTTTGAAAATATCTGAACATAAAAAATTCAAAACAGGCTTATAGTGCACATTTTCAATTTGTAGCACTTAAAAAACGATTTAAAATTTCAATTGAGCAACCGTTGTATTAGCATATAACGCCATTCGTCTACTTGGTCTACGTCAACTCGGTTATACATCAAATAATTTGGTCATAGCTAAGAAAACCAAAATAAACCACCATAAAGAATACCAAAAAGCAATCAAAAATCTAATTACCGTAATGAGATTCTGAGCGTTGGCGATTGCTGCTTGTTGTTTAACTGCTTGAATCACTTGCTGTTGCTTTTCTGGAGTCAACTGCTTTAAAGCTTCCAGGTCTAACAATTGATCCATTACGTTCTGAAACTATATATTCAAGTAGCAATAGTATCTAAGGCGAATTCACGATAAAATTCAGAGGACGGGCAAGTTGAGTGCAGTAGCAAACCCATCAACTACGATCGTACGGTCTGTACTGAATACTTTCCTCTTTGCCCGAAGAAAACAATACAAGAAGCCTACCTACAAATAAGAGGTACGGTTATCGTCTGTCTAGGAGATGGTTTCATCATCAAAAAAACCGAGAATAATCTAACAATAAACGTGAGTGACAAAGACAACCATCTCGCCATAAAAACGAACAAAACTTCTGGATATAAAAACGAACGTAATATTATGTAGACATAAAACAAGCATGAATGTTCAACAGTTGTCCTCACTCACTTGGACTTCAATGAGAAATCAAATGATAACGATTTCGAGGTCAAAAAACCAATTGATTCCAGGTCTTCTTCAAAATAGTAGAGAGCCAGTATTTAACACATGCGTCAACTAAAAATAGTGGGGCCGATTCTGCGGAAGTTTATCCAAAAGCACGAATATGTTTGCTTGATTCAATTGCAGAAGCGTAAGTTGTAGTGTGTATTGTGTGTGCACACAAATTGACCGTGCTTTGGCGGTGAAGACGTCAGATTTGAATTTAGTAGAATCTGGGTAGGCTTTGACTTTATGTGTTTCTTCTATCTCGGTCTCCTTCCTCTAAGTGATTATAACGTTACAGGCTTCTTCTTGCTGAATGAATGGATTTAGAAGTGTTCAGTGGAGTAAAGTAGTGCAAAGTAGTAATTTTGTAAATTGAGAACTACGCAATCAAGTTTCCTTATTGACTAGACGTTTCCTTTTTTACAAAAGTTTCTACGCAACTCTTCTGAGTACAGAATCGAGTATTGCTCTGAATTCTTACAGTACTCATTCTCCGTTATTCTTCATCGAGAACAAGGCTGTTGGTCTTGATACTCATTCTGGTAGATGACTGTCCATAATAAATTCAAGCTTCGGCACTATTCTACTATTACACCCCCAAAAACTCAAAATTTTAATTTTCGATGAAACTTCGCCTATAGAGGTAATCCGATGCCCTGATAACGAATATGACCTTCATTTTTGG